TGTGTATGGAGTAATTACATCACTAGTGCACTTTTAGGTTCATTAATGAATTTCATCAACAAACCTGTGTGAGTTTCTACTCATGCCACTTATATGCTGTTAAATATTTGTCTGTGCCTAATGTCCTGGTCATGTTTTATTTCTGAACAGGAAGGAGCGACAAAGGAAGAGATCGACCATTTGCCAAAGTACAAGTTCCGCACAATATCTGATTTTGAGAAAGTTAATGGTGAGATCCAAGAATCTTTTGGAGGAATAATGACCGAATGTGATACTAATACACCCACTGAACATGTTCTCTCCCAAGAGGATGCTGTAAGTTTCACGATACATTCTTTTCACTAGAAAGTCTCATAACATAGTCTTTTTTCTTTTCTTTAAGTGACATGATGAAATCAGTTATCGTATTACCACCTGGAATTCATACCATGTACATGATCGACAATTGAGCCTGTCAATTGCCCATCCATTTCCCAGGGCTTCGCCTTTCCATTTGCAAGTCATGTGTATGAAGTCTGGGACACTAGACTGGTTTTAATTTTTTCATTGCCAAATGACCCTACACAAAGGAGAATTCTATGAATAGATGTGCTCATAACGTGAACCGTTGTGGTAAATCTTAGGAATGTTGCATCTGCCTTTGTGCCTATGATGATGGAACTGAACTGCGTGAACTTCCTTGCCATCACCATTTCCACTGCACCTGCATAGACAAATGGCTACAGATCAATGCCACCTGTCCACTCTGCAAGTTCAACATTTTGAAGTCTGTCAGCCAAAGTGGCAGTGAAGAGGTATAAAACGCAAGTTGTGTGTAACAGTTGTGACCAAATTATATGTCCTGCTCCTATGTACATATAGTGTACACCACGAAGATTTCTCCAGCTGCTGGGTTCCATTCCACGAGAGTCCAGATGCGGCTTCATGGTCGGCTTTGTTGATGCTTCATCTTTACTGCCTAGAGTGTTAGCATGTATTCCGACAACAAAAAAGTGTTAGCATGTGTTCCGACAAAAACAAAAGGGTGTTAGCATGTATATTGAGTTCTTTATGTTGAAGGCATTTATGTAATATCTAATAAAGAAAAGTTTTTAATGTAATATATAGCCCTCCGTTTTAACTTCAATTTACAAAAATAGTTTCGCTTCCATCTATGGCTAGGCTATCCAAGTGACACGATAAATAAGCCAGTTAAATGTGTACCGACCAGAGAAAGTAATTATTTGATCAAAAAAATAAAAAACCAGAGAAAGTAATTACGTTATGGCAAGAAAAGAGGGGCAATTACGTGAAAGGTTTAAAAAAATTTGCACCAGCCGGGAATCGAACCCGGGTCTGTACCGTGGCAGGGTACTATTCTACCACTAGACCACTGGTGCCTGTTTGATAATCCGTCTTATGTTTTTATTCTTATTTCTTCTGTCATAAGGATATCATTTGTTCTTTGCGCCCTGTAGAAGTAACAGACATTTAACGGTTTCAGTTTGTCTTTGCGTTTTGAATAAATCAAGACAAAAAGTGTTAATCCTGATTAAAAATATTATTTGTGTCTAATAAGGTTTCATCAATGATTAAGAAGGATTGGATGTCCAAGGAATTTAAATTGCAATTTGAATGGAATAAATAAATTAATAAAGCACAAACTTTAGCTAATAACAGGTAGTTTTAAAAACAAAATATTCAGTATATCATTCCACAATTTGGACTTTGACTAAATTAGTTAAAGCCAAACACTTTACTGTGGCTCTATGTTGAAAGGTTTTCTTGTCTTCTAGGCCAAGACAGAATTTAATCCCGCATTTCTTCCTTTTGGGCCCTAAAGTCAGTTTTTATATTCTCAAACAAAAGATTCCTTTGTTTTTGTGGCAACAACAACTGCTGCCAAGTGTCATTTGACTTTCCTTTCTTGTGCAGCCACCATTTCGTGCAGACAGATTTTTAGACCTTTCTTCAATGACTTACTTGTCCTTGAATATTGAATTATTGAAAGCCATCATCAATGTCAATTAATCCCATCATTATCATCACTATCACCATCATGTAACGTGTCCTTATTCATCTCTCAAGGAGCTATATTGTATACAGAGTTCATGAATTAGTCAAATGTATATATAAAAAAAAAATTAAATATAGACAAATGCCTAAACATTAGTCTAACTATGTGCAATTAATCAGCAGTATACAATTAGGAAAAATGTAACAAATGTACTAAAATGTATGATCTAACACTTGGCTTCGAAATGCCATAAAATTCCGGATTGGTATTGGATTTGGTTTTAGATATCCCTATGCCATTCTTTGTATTTGTTCTTGTTGAACGCATTCGATTTCTGTTGGCCTTATGGTCCTTGGATGCTCAGGAGTATTTGAAGCAGTGGAGTAATTCCACCTTGGAGAATGCCATTCTTCTGCATAATTAGCAAAAGTTGGAGCTCTGGTTGGGATATTAAGCTCTCTGCTGTAGAAGAATCTTGCTATTCTAACTGTCTTGTTCCAAAGAGTTTCTTCACTTGGACTTGGGCTTGCATTGCCTTGGTCTGCTTCTTGCTGTTGAAACCTCCTCCCCCACACAGCAAGAGATAGTAGAAAACAAAAGCTGGAAGTAACACCAGATATCACATAGAGGCCTGTAAAACTGTTGAGGCTCAAGCTTTCTGGTCCATTGGAAGTTACATTGTTTGGACACTCATTCTTGGGGGTCAACCAGTCATTTTGAAGTTTCTTCAGCTCTCCATTCTCCAATAGCTCTAGAATTGCCCTGGTGAAATCCCTGGCTATTGGAGAGCCTCTTTGGAATATCTGCAAGGAGACACATAAAAACAATTTTATTAGTTTCACTTTCAGAGATGGTTCCTTCTATCACAAGAAATATTTGGTCACTACTCACAAAGCTCAAGCCTCCAAATCTGTAGGTAGGAGCCATGGACGTATATCCCTCACAGTACTCGTTCATGAACACTTGGGCATATGGGAGTTCAAGAAAGGCAGCAGATATGGTTTTGCTTTTGAATTTTTCCGTGTAGTTGTATTCGCTGCTTACGTTGACGATGTTCTCTAGTTTGAACCCAAGAACAGTCTGCAGGTAGTCCATGACAAACGAGTCCCCATCGCAACCAATTTTCGAGTTGGTTCTCTTCAGAATTTCGATATCTGTCAGATTTGGTTTGAGCCGTTGGATGGTAAGCATGGAAGACAGATTAGCAGTGTAGCTTGAGGTTAGGATCAATACAACAAAGAGCCACACCACAACAACCAGTCGAGTTAAGTTGCTGTAAATTTTCTCTCCTGCAAAATCAAATGAAACCAAACCAAGGTTTATAATTTTGAACCGAGCCTTTTAGATTATCATTGGCTATCTAAGATGTATGGAAATTGGTACTCTACTTACTGTGAGAAAAGAACAGAGAGGAGAAGGTAAACCAGGTTGCTGTGCCAATCTGGTTCTTCAATGGGCCACCAAATTCTGGATTGGATGGGCGCTCCAGGAACCATACTACAAACATTGTGTAGATTAAAATGGCACCAGTCACCACCCACATTTTCCATGTGAAAGGTTTCATGAACATCCATGTTGACTTCTCAGGTTTTTTTGGAACTATCATGGACAAACCAGACTCCATATATGGCTGAGTGAACTCCACTTTATCCAGTCGGTCAGCTAGTACTGTTATATCGCCAACCGCAGCGTCATAAACCTTCCGTTGATACAAGCATATATACAAACGTTGTCATCAGAATCAAATCAAATAGAAATTAGTCAAGTCATCTTAATGAAAAAAGAAAAACAAATGAGGTTGCTACCTTGTTATGGACTCGTTCTACCAGATCATCGTAGGGGCCATAAAAGGCTTCAAATTCATATGGCAAAGAATAATTCAATCTCTTTATCACCTTATCAAAAATTTCAATGCAGAAACCGACATATTTCTTCTTATCTGAATTGTCCCGGGATGGATCAACCTTTACAAATTTGCTGAAGGATGTTTTACCAGGTACCCCAATTTTCATTGGCTTCTCAGCAGTAGGCATTGCCCAGCCTCTGGGGGCATGCGTGAGGTTACCGGGCCAAATTACTCCACCAGCATCACCTCTGATCTTGCCTGTTTCTTCTAATGAGAAACCAACATCTGCTGTCCAAAAGTTGAGTTCTTTGAATCTCTTCCCATCCACAATATTTATGATCCTGAGTACCGGAGAGTACAATATCTCACCTGCTTCTAACCGCATTTTCCCACTTAAACCGGTATAATTGCTAAATAATGTATTTAACAACAGCTGAAGACTAGTAGAGTTATTACTAGTCATTCTTCCTATGGCCCGTGCAATGGTTCTAATAGCATCGTATGCTCGAAGAGCGTAAATTCCTGGCTCAGGGTTGCCTTCTTCTGGATACTTTGTTTGGAATTGCTTCTGGAATGTGGCAAAATAATTAGTATTTTTGGCATAGTAGGTCTTGATTCCCAGAGTGCCTTTCATGGTGGATGATATATCAGAGGTTTCATGAGGGTCAAGCAAACTAGTGATACTCTCTGTGATTATCCAAGCTGATTCTTTTCCTACTAGTCCCATCTTCTCAGCCACTCTGAATAGATGAGACACTGTTGGTAAAGATGACTGGAACACAATATATACCCGAGACTGCATGGTGGGAAGCTTCAACAGCTCTTCCAGCTCAACCCAATTCGGATTAGACAGAGATGAAACTCGTGGAAGAACCAAACGGTGCTCAATCTTTGAACCAACATCTTGAAGAGCCTCAGATAAAAGAGCTAGCATCCCAACATCACCGCCATACCCATCATCTTCGTAAATCACAACCACCCTTTTCCAATGGTAGGCAGAAACAATATCTGCAATGCATTTCATTTGAGCAGAACCGTTAGCTGCCATTCGTATCAAAAATGGCCAACGGAGTTGCATTAGTGGCGGGGTTATAGAGGGTGCTGCAAATGAGATCACTGGAATTTGAGCTTGGTTTCCCACAAGATCAGCTACCTGAGCTGCTTCCTGCCAAGTCTCCATGCCAACTATGGCTTCTACTTTCTTTTCCTTTATCAACTCTTCAGCTGCAGCAACAAATTCAGAACATAAAAAGAAAAAGTCCATGAGTACTTTTACATATCATAGAGTTATAAATAGCATCATGGGTTTAGTTACTACCACTTACCAGCAGAAGCAGCAAGAAAGGGGTCTGTGCCGGAGTCTCGAAAATGAAGGATGAGCTTATGAGTCTTTGAACGGTTGTTGAAGGTTTCAGCTGCAATTTCCATGGCAGTTTTCTGTTCTTTCCCAATACGAGAATTACCGTTAATGATTGCTCCAACGTTGGTGACATTGCTACTGTTTTGAGCTCCAACTCCATACGAGAGAATGATTAGAAAGTAGATGATGAGCGCAGGAAACAAAAGCCAGAGCCTTTGGACAGTATTAGCTGTGGCAAGAGAAAGAGGAATTGGGTTTTGATATTGTAGAACAAATGACACAATCTTAACCACTCAATTTGTTTATATAAGAACACTGTTTTGATTTATTCAAGGATACGTGTAGGCTACGGAAATTTTGTGATTGTGTGTTAGAGAACACACGCTATTTCCAGGCAATTCAGTGTGGAATTATTATCCTTGACTTGGTCTGGTGTGACGAAATAATGATATAATAATGATATGGAGGCAATACCATATAAAAAAGTGACCTGGTCTTCTATGAAGCAAAATTTTGCTTGGGGATTAAGAGAACCATAGTTTGTGTTACTTGGGGATGTTGATAGTCTTATTGTGTTATGTAGCCCCATTCCTGACCATTGTCTTTTCCACTCCTCTCGAATTCCAAGTTAAACCCTTGAGAAAGAATTTACAGTACTAGCATGGATGAATTTGCTAGGGTTGGGTAAAACTTTTACTTGGAAATATTTGACATAGCTGACCTTGCTATTTAAATTTAGCTTTTGGGTATGAAAGGTATATAATTCATCAATCTTCAATAATCTGGGTCAAGTAGTCTCTTACTTCAAACATTCAAAAAGGGGAGAACATTGATTCAAGTTACAGAAGTCAACGTCAGAGTTGCTCCTACCTAGAGGGAAGAGGAAGTACAGTACTAG